TACTAAAAACTGGCTTTAGTGAACCGTTCTTTCCTTAGTGAGCCATTTTGTTTCCTGACTAGTATGGTAGGCAGAGTGCCTATAAGAATCCTGTAAATTTCTACTCTTTTCCTCGATGTTAATGTAACAAAGGACTCTCCAAGTCTGCAAGGTTAAGTAGACTTTTCTTAGATTCCCATTCACACGTTTAAATGCACAAAGGTTTTCAGAAGCCTGGATTAAGAGCAATGTCTTGAAAACAGTAACTGAGAATAGATGCTCTACTTAGGTTTTTGCCTTGCGTCGCTCCCACCGCCTGGCAGGAATCTAGCTCAGGTGTATTGGGGCATACATATTCTTGGCTTCATCATGAAAGAGCAGCTAGGAACTGAATGGTTTGCACGTGGAGTGTGGCAGAGCAGAAGATAAGATAAATAGCACCCGGAAGGCAGCAGCCTAAAAAGGTCCAGCATTGCATGGACCAACAAAGAAAGTAGGGGATTGGTGCTGAGGGAGTGTTCAAAACTTATTCTGTCAATCAGGAAGTACCAGCTGCCTCCTGATGTGGACCTAGGTGTTTGGGGAAAGGAGGAAGCACTTCCTTGAGCAGAAACCCAAACAAACTAAGGCTTTTAGAGTTTTCATGTTACCCTCAGCAAGAAAAAGGCGTCACCAGGCTGGTCTTGTCGGTGCACACCTTTGATGTCAGTAGACAGGGCCACATAGCAAGACCTGTCAATCAGTAGCTGGGACCACACAGTGAGACTGTCAAAATATTTACAGTGAGCAAAAGATCCCCCCCCAAAGAACACATCTTAATTTTATTTCACTTGCATAAGATTCTAGAAAAAGTCACTCTGTAGACCACTCTGGCCTCAGGTCACCAAGATCTGCCTGCCTCTGCCTCAAAAGTGCTGGGATTTAAGGTGTTTACTGCCACATCCAGATTTTTTTTATCTATCTATCTATCTATCGTCTTTTGAGACAAGGTTTTTCTATGTAGTCCTAGTTGTCCTGGGGCTCCCTTTATAAACCAGGCTGTCCTTGAACTCATAGAGATCTGCCTGCGTCTGCCTCCAAAGTTCTGGGATTAGTGCACCACCACCGCCTTAGAATCAGCCTATAGTATTTTTAAATTTATGCACATGTGTATACACACACGTGTGTAGATGATCACACGTTGTTGGATCTCCTGGAACTGGAGTTACAGGTGATTGTGAGCTGTCCAAAGTGGGTGCTCAGAACCGAACTTAGGTGTTCTGAAAGGACAGCAGGTATTCTTAACTGCTGAGCCATCTCTCCAGCCTTATTTATTTATTGGCAAGGTTCTAACTATGTAGCCCAGACTGGTCTGGAACTCATTATGTAGATCAGACTGACCTTGAACTCAGAGATCCTCTGGTCTCTGCCTCCTCAGTACTGGGATTAAAGATTCTTATCAGTATGCCCACTATTTTTATTGTATTTTTATTTTTAAGTTTGGTTATTTACTTGGGTGAATAATCAATGTGAATGCAGGAGGGTCAGGAGCTCAAGCCTAGCGTTGGGCTACATTTGAATTTTTGGTTGTTAGCCTAGCCTTTATTGGCTGAGCCATCTCTCCAGCCCTTGGGCTACATTTGTAAGTTTAAGGCTAGACCTGTCTCAGAAAAAAATAAAATCCATGACGTATGTATGCATGTATGGATGTATATGTATGTATGTATGTATGATATTGGAGATTGAGTCCAGGATGCTACACTTTCATAGAAAGTTTTCTTATCACTTGGCAGCATCCCCAGGCCCTCTTTTGTTTACCTTTGAGACATGATCTCACTGAAGATGCCCAGGCTGTCTGCACGTTTGGGATCCTTCCTGCTTCAGCCTCCTGAGAGCTGGGAATGGTGGTGTGAGCTGCAGTGTTAGACAATGAGCAGTTTTGTCGGGTGTGCAGTAGCTGACTTGTGGTAGTGAACAGTTACAGCAAAGCTCTTTAAATATTTTGTGCCAAAATATCTCAATGAGGCTATGTTCTTAAAAAGAAAAAAAAAAACATTGGGAAAAGGTGGTGGCAGGAAGCATGGTGTGGAGGTGTGGTTTTTGCTCAAGGACACTGATGGTCTGATTTGAACATGGTTTTTGCAATCCTTTGCTAAGTTTCTATTTTTGTTTATTTTGTTTTGTTGAGACAGGGTTTCTCTGTGTAGCCTTCACTGTCCTGGAACTCACTATGTAGACCATGTTGGCAAGTTCACTTGTCTCTACTTCCCTAGTGATTAAAGATTAAAGAGATTAAAGTCTCTGTCACCATGTGGCCTTTTCTTTGCTGCATTTCTGACTGCTAGGATGCTGCTCTGCAGAGTCTAAAGGGTTAACTCTCTAGTCTCAACGAGAGCTCACCTATGAACCCCTGCTCATACACTTTCAGATGGCCCAGTGTTCTGGCACCTCCAGTGCAGCCATACTCCTGTCTCTGCCTCAATTTGCTGGACTCTTTCATTCACTCTAAATGTTTTCAATTTTTCTTCTCTTTTCAGACCCAGTGAAAATAAGATTTATTTCACAGTCTTTCCTATCTATTTCTTCAGAGAAATGTCCATCCGCTCTTGAAGTTTCTCTGGTATTTATAATCTAAACTGCCCTTTTGACACCTATTTACTGCCTTGGATTATTTCCTTCTCATGTGTATCTTCTCAATAGCCTGTGAATTTCCTCAGGGTAGGAATTAGGTCACATTTATCTTTGTGTCTCAGAAGGCACTTAATAAAACACTTTCATAGTCTTTCAGTGGACGCACTTTCTTAGCCATTATCTCATTTGATCATGACATCAATGCTAAGAGATTGGAGTAACTAGAAATATGCTGTTCCCTCCTTTTGACAGGAAGGAGAGCTGTAGCCCAAGGTCTCACAGCTTGAAAGGAACAAAGACCAGAGATATAATTGCCTTTGGAGGTCTATTCAATGCAAGGCTTCCACCACTATCTTCTCCATCCTTCTGGAAGGCAGGCTTCTGTACCTTTGCCTCTCAGGGCCTTGTGTGTTTTAGAGCCACTTAGCCAAACCTTGTAGTTCGGTATTTGAGAACTTGAAGACTTGGGAGATAAAATTCCAGTAGATCTCTGATCAGCTGAAACTCTGCAAAGCACGCTTGCTATTTTGTTCTGATCACTGTTTGTGTGTAGGCCTGGAATTTAATGAGGCTGCATTGCAGAACTGAGGAAGCATAAACAATTTTTAAAAGCCTTGGAAAATGACAGCACTCTAGCATTAATACAAAACATGGCAGGCAGCTGACGCTCTGACCAAGGACATAAAATCTTTCCCTATCGGATCATTCCTCTGTGTATACTAGTGGAAGTCTACTTGTTCCATTTTTTTTTTTTTTTTGACAGGATCACTCTATGTAACCTTGGCTGGAACTTTCTATGTAGACCAGGCTGTCCTCAGACTAAGAGATCCACCTGCCTCTGCCTTGCAAGTGCTGGGATTAAAGGTGTCAGCCACTATGAACAGCCCTAGCCTGTTCTAAAGGAAGAAGTGAACAGCTCCATCTCTTAGCACGCACACATTGCCCCACTCTGTTTGTTCTCTTTTGCAAAACATCTAATAATTGGACTAGAGAGAGAACTCAACCATTGCTCTTCTAGAAAACCTGGCTTTGATTCTCAGCACCAACATGGTGGCAAATGTAACCAGTTCCAGGGGATCCCAGAGCACCAAGCCTGCAAGTGGTACACAGATAACACATGCAGGCAAAACACCCACCCGTATAAATAACAGTAAAGTAAGTAAAACTTTAATAACCTGGAAGCAGCTTATGTAATATAAAACTTTCATTCATGGTGTGGGGGGGCAACTTCAATATGGTGCTCAGGCTGGGCCTTGAACTCCAGATCTTCCTGACTCAGCCTCGGGAGTAGGTGGAATGAAGGACAAGTCGTACCACCTGGTCAAGACAAACATTTTATTTTCTACCTAATTTACTTCCTGATTGGGTTCCCTCAGTTTTGCAAAACCAGTGTAGGCAGGAGTAGGGGTTGGATGAAGTATGAGAAATAAAGGGGAGGGCAGGGTTATTAACTTGGCCGAATGGGTAAAGGAGCTGCCAAGCCTACGACTTGAGTTCCACACCCCAGAACCTACATCTTGGAAGAACTGACTCCCACAGCATCTTCTGACCTCCACAGCGTACGTAAAAATGTAAAAGGTGGGGCTGGAGAGATGGCTCAGAGGTTAAGAGCAACTGGCTGCTCTTCCAGAGGACCTGAGTTCAATTCCCAGCAACCACATGGTGGCTCACAACCATCCGTTATGAGATCTGGTGCCCTCTTCTGGTGTGCAGATATACATGGAAGCAGAATAAATAAAATATTTATATAAAAGGTGATTTAAAAAAATTAACGGAGAGCAGAGGAGGCTGCATTAAGACACTCAATAGGCAGGAGATGGTTCAGTGGTTAAGAGCAGACCTGAGTTTAAGCACCAGAGCAGCTCACAACAGCCTGTAACATAGGCTCAAGGAACTCTGACTCCCTCTTCTGACCTCTGTGGACACTGCACGCGTGACGCATGC